TTATTTATCAAGTTACCACGTTACCCCTAGCACGAAATAATTTACCATAGAAAAACCTTCATGGAATGATGCAAGACCCCTTCAAGCATGCCCTGAGAATTTTAATTTTAAAGACAATTGAGTCGTTACATTATGTTTAAAAAAAAGTAAAAGATAAAACAATGCCCCCAGGTCACGTGCAAGTATTTTTATTTTTTATTTTTAAGGGTATTTATGTAACTTTACCATGCAACAAATCATATCAAAATCAACTGAATTAATTCAAGTGTTCGGTTAAATCAACTATTTTATATATATATATATATATATATATTTATAATCTAGAGCAATTGAGGTTATGGGTCTACTCGCTTGGCCGTGTTTTATAGACTATGAGTGTGATTTCTCTCCATACCAATTAAAAACTCGTTGTGCTGTGGGAAAAGAGAGGCAAATAATTTTGAATTCCACATAAATAGAACATGAAAAACAAAATAACAGTATAATCTCATTCGATGCATCCTCAAGGACACTTTCGTCACAAAGACAACAACCATGATTTTGGTCGGTAAGGATCTCATTATCCTCTCTCTGTTTTTTTAACTTTTCTTTTTATGGACTCGTTATTCTTATTTTCATCACACCTTTTCCAAGTCTCAACCGAAGAATTAAACCTCGACTGCTAGGACCCCACTTCTGTTTTTTCTTTGCTTAATTATTTCTTCAGAGGACCAAAAATTGGATCCCACTGTTCTTAATCGAAGCAACAAAAAAAAAAAAAAAACTTTAAGCTCCAAACTCTGCATCTGTGTCTTTCTTGTCCAAAAATCAAATGTCTCTTGCTTTCACACAAAAACCTCTCCACTTCCTCGGTGTTTAACGCTCCTCTTTGATGATAAAGGTTCTTTTTAAAGTTTAAACCGTTGTCCATTCACCTGCCCTTCTCATCAACTCATTAAAACCCAGCTCAATTCACCCAGTTTTCTCATCTGGGTCTCTCTTATTTCTATCAAAATCCTCACTTTGAGGGTATATTTGCATAATTCAATCGTTTTTGGGTTTTTAATAAACATGGTATTAACGGAGGATCCGAATTCTGAGTTGATGAGTGGACTCGTTGACTCAGTGAAAGAGATTTCTATGTCACCGGAATGTAGAAATGTTTGCAAGAAGATGCATGGGAATTTGGTACGTAGAATCAAGCTGTTGAGCCCTTTGTTTGAGGAATTGAAGGACAACAATGAAGAGCTAAGTGAAGAAGAGACTAAGGGTTTTGAATTATTGAGAACCGCTTTAGATTCTGCTAAGGAGCTTCTCAAATTGGTTGTTGAAGGAAGCAAGGTGCATCAGGTACTGATTTTTGTCCTCTCTGTTTGGTTGCAAGGAAGTAGAGAAAAATGAAAGCTTCAAGCTTTGTGTTCTGTGCTTCTTTGTTATCAACGAGTCGGAATTTATTTGTGTTTCTTCTCTGGTTGGAATGGTTGAGTTATGCTATCGTCTGTTGGGTATTTTTACGAGGAGGATTTCGTTTACTTGTCTCAATTCTGTCTGTTTCCTGAGAAAATGGAAGTTGTGGGGTTTTTTTTGTGGTGTTTTTTCTCTGTATTTGAAGAATGGATATATTATTGATTTAGAATAGAACGAAAGCTAAGGACTTTGATTCTGAACTTCTGGATTATTAGTTTTATCAGAAACTAAATAGATTACTGTTCATTCCTGAAAAAATTAAAAAACAATCTTTAATTTTTCCGTGAATTGAAGGGACAGACCTGAAATTACGAATTGTCTTAATAAAGGTTGAGTCATGTAATTACTGAAATGTCTGTCGGTGAGTCTTTTTGACTGAAGTTCGTATATTATTTTGTGTTTTTTGTCCTTAGATTAGGATATTTTTACCAGCTTCTTCAATTCATGGCGGGATTGCATGATAACTTGGAACTCTGTTTATAGCCATCATCTTGCCATCTATACTTCTAGCGTTCTGCAACAAATACCTTTAGTTTCTTCCCTTGATAGTTTTAGAAAACATTGATTCAGTTTTTTAGGTCGAATGATTTGAGATTAGTAAGCCTGTATATTGAGTTGTTGGTATTAAAGTTAGCAGGGTTTTTTTTTTTTTTTCATTTGCAAACATAACTGTTTAGATGTAAATCTCCAAATCTGAATCAAGCCATGCTTTGAATGCACAGGCCTTGCAAAGAGACCACATAGCAGATAAGTTCAACCAGATCACAGAAAAAATTGAAGCAGCATTGAGTGAGATTCCTTATGACAAACTCAATTTATCAGAGGAGGTTCAAGAACAGGTACTCTTATGACCAAATTGATTTATTTTTAGCACATTTACAAGGACCCACTTCACCATTTTAGTTCTGCACACCATAAGATATTCTGATCAAGTATGGTTTTGGCACAAAATAATGACTCTGATTAATAAATGGATTGATTAATTTTAGTGCTGACAACTGATGTGATATCTATCACTTTTTGCTAGATTGAACTTGTGCACGCTCAATTCAGAAGAGCAAAGGGAAGTCCAGAACTCCAAGATCATCAACTGGAAGTTGATTTGGCCATAGCACAGAGAGAGAAGGAGCCTGACCCTGCAATACTAAAAAGACTTTCAGAAAAGCTGCATCTCCAGACTATTGATGATCTAAAGAAAGAATCCCTTGCGTTCCATGAACTGGTTATTGCAAGTGGTGGAGATCCAGTAGATTGGTTCAAGAAGATGGCATCCCTCTTTAAGAAGTTAAAGGACCACGTTCAGATGGCAAACCCTGAAGCTGATTGTTCTCAGGCTGAAAAGGTTGTGGTGAAACACAGATCTCCAGTTATTCCAGATGATTTCCGGTGCCCAATATCTCTTGAACTAATGAAAGATCCTGTTATTATCTCTACCGGACAGGTAATCTAAAAGTTGTCGCATAGTTTTTAACTTTGCATCTTCGTTGGTAGCCATTATTCATTAATTGTTTCCTCTCCTTCTCCAGACTTATGAAAGATCATGCATCCAAAAATGGCTAGATGCTGGCCACAAGACCTGTCCAAAAACACAGCAGACGCTCTTGCATACGGCCCTTACACCTAACTATGTTTTGAAGAGTTTGATTGCTTTGTGGTGTGAGAGCAATGGTGTAGAGCTTCCTAAACAGCCAGGGGCTTGTAGAAGCAAAAATGTAAGAAGTAGCATTTCATATTGTGACCGAGCTGCAATAGCTACCTTACTAGACAAATTGGCAAATGGTAATCTGGAACAACAAAGATCAGCTGCTGGAGAGCTTCGTTTATTAGCTAAGAGGAATGTAGATAACAGAGTCTGTATTGCTGAAGCAGGAGCAATTCCACTCCTCGTGGAGCTATTATCCTCAACAGATCCTCGGACCCAGGAGCATGCTGTTACAGCGCTTCTCAACCTTTCCATAAATGATAGTAACAAGGGAACCATTGTTAATGCAGGGGCCATTCCTGATATAGTAGATGTTTTGAAAAATGGTAGCATGGAGGCAAGAGAAAATGCTGCTGCAACCCTTTTCAGTTTATCTGTTGTAGATGAGAATAAGGTGGCAATAGGAGCAGCTGGGGCTATCCCAGCTCTTATAAAGTTGCTTTGTGATGGGACTCCAAGAGGAAAGAAGGATGCTGCCACTGCTATCTTTAATCTTTCAATCTATCAAGGGAACAAGGCAAGGGCTGTGAAGGCTGGTATTGTCCCACCCCTGATGAGGTTGCTGAAGGATGCCGGGGGAGGAATGGTGGATGAAGCATTGGCAATTCTTGCCATTCTTGCAAGTCATCAAGAAGGGAGGGTGGCAATTGGTCAGGCCGACCCAATTCCTGTTCTGATGGAGGTCATCAGCACTGGATATCCACGCAACCGAGAGAATGCTGCAGCCATCTTGTGGTCACTTTGCACTGTCGATTCGCAGCAGTTGAAGTTAGCTAGGCAGTTCGGTGCTGAAGAGGCACTGAAAGAACTATCGGAAAGCGGTACTGACAGGGCAAAGAGAAAAGCTGGAAGCATATTAGAGCTCCTTCAGGGAGTTGATGCGATTGTTACACAAAGCTGACTCTGAATCATGCAGAAACATTTCAGAAAATCGCAAAACCAAAATCATGCCTGTTTGAATGGTTCTTCGATTTTGAATAGGTGTTTTTTGTACAGAAGGGTAAACATGGAAGTGTGCATATTGGCGGCTTAGGCATACGAGACTTGTGCGTCCCCGCCAATTAAGATAGAGGTATAAACTACTGGCGTGCTTCACCAAACACGCAGGAAAGGTCGGTGGTACTGAATTTAATATTGTTCCAGCTCTGGAGGGACTTTTTGGGTGTTTAAAAAAAATGATTTTTTTTCTTTAATTTTTCTGTGTTTTTAAATATTTTGATATCATAATATAAAAAATAAATTTTAAAAAATAGAGAATATAATTTCGATGACAAACATGCTCCCAGGTCTCCGATCATATTAGAGATCTCATGATGTGACCTCAATATGGAGTTTATCAGCCTTTAATTATCGTGGAAACGTGTGTTTTGGAAATAACATGTATGATAGTTTTAAAAAAAGTATTTTTTAATTATAGATGTATTTAAATAATATTTTTTCAGTTTTATTACATCAATTCATTAAAAATATCAAAAAACATTTTTAAAAAAATTAATTTAATATTTTTTGATAATTTTAAAAATACTTCGAAAAATAGATTCAATCACAAAAACACTCTTGTTAGGGTGATATAAACTATTTTTCAGGGAAACCATCCTTCATTGAACTTTTAAAAGTGCTTTGAGCAACCACATTCCCCACCAAAAGTTCTGTAATGCCATGTTATTGAGGTCGGAAGTTGAGTTATAAAGGCTATATTTTAAAATCATTTTCAGGTGTCAACTGGTCTTTTTTCTGCCATGATTCTTAATTCGTAGGTGAAACTGTAGTTAGCCTCAGGTAACGTGATGCAAAATTTTCATTGCAATGGGCTGTAAATTTGAACCGCAAGATCTCTGACGACAAAGCAAGATGTTAACAAGCTAAGAAATCATCAAATAACTCAAAACCATTTGCCATTATCATATGATGACTAAAGACATGAAAGTGTAGATTGACGGTCACATTTGTTCACCGGAAAAACAAAAAAAAATTCTTCCATTCAACCCCGAATAAAAAAATCACAAAGAATTCCAACCAAACATCAACTCACCATGCATGCACCAGTAATTCCATCGGGAGAAGACACGTAAGAAACCAATGTAACTCCGCACAGAATTGTATCACCTTGGCATTTTCTCAAGTCTCGCTTTTGCTTTGAAAAGTCGCGTTTTTGCAGGCCAAAAAAGTTAACCCAACTTTTCCATGAACGTCTCAGTCAAGGTATTGCCACTGACAATTTTTGTTGTCCCAATAATCAAATCATATGCCATCGTTTCCTGAAGAGTAGAAGATTATGATATTAAAAAAAAAAAGGAGGGAAATAAACTAACAAAAAAAGAGAAAATTAACCGCTGTATAACCATTTAAATTAATGATGTTTTAGAGTCAACAATGCAGGTAGATATATTTTTCAAGTTATATTATAGAATCTTTCAAGTATCAAAGAGAAAAACCAAACTGAAAAAATCGAGTAAAATCATCCAAAGGGATGGGCTATCCTCCATTCGTTTTGAAGTATTAGTCTAAATGCTTCCGTTAATGTGGGAGAAAAACCAAGGTCTCACCCACAACTATATAATTGACTGCCTGATACAGATTCGCATATTAGAATTGCCTACTAAAGATTCATATACGCAGAAGTATCTCACAAACCTGAGCACTAAGAAATCGAAGTGCAGAAATTTCTGCAAATGTTACCCCTCCAATGAACACAACAAGTACCAAGGAGCGTCTTCCATCAGCAACTCTGAAATATGTTAATTAGTGTTACAATTGACTGAAGATCAAAACGTTGCATGATACAACTCGAAAATTACTCCATACACTTGGAATACAGAATTAATCCAACTAGTTTATGAATAATTCAGTCACAAAAGCTGTTTTTATACTATTTGCAAAATTGATACAAAGAGATGCTCATTAAAAAATTTATGATCCTTGAGCACAGGCAATGCTTTTTACCAATCAGAAAATTTAGGTTAAATTAGAAAAATCTGGATAACCTCATAGACATCAATGATCACATCACACCCATCAAAGTATTGAAAATATCAATTAACGAGAGACAACGGCTTAAGCAGCAGACAAGAAAGAAGAATGAGTTTGCATCTACCTGTCTACAGCTGCTGAAGCCCCATGCAGTGTGTCGAACGAAGGACTGCCCGAGAATCCACCCTGCACAAATAGTATAAAAGATATTGTGGCAAAGATATCAATTTTTTTTATGATATGCGTATCATAAAAAAATATTAGATGCAACAGCAAAACTAAAAGGCAGAGATGGAGAAGTGGACTGACTCTCTTAGTCTCTGAATGAGGTCCTGGCAACAGCTTCAAAATTTCTTCCATGGGACGCCTGAAAGGTCAAGCCATCACATTTAACTAAGATAAGGTCACTGGTAAAGTTCACATTTTTTGTGGGACTCCATGGCATCGAACTTGCTTTAATTCAACCTATAATGTTTAAGGGTTTTATCTTTAAGGAATTAAGACCAGAATAAGCACAGATGCTTTTAATCTTTTTAGACAGTTCACAAGTTGATCATAAACATGCATATAGATAACCAGTAAACATGCGTGATCCACTGCTGACATACAAAAGCTAAAAACAGAATTCAAAATTGACCTCACCATCCAGATCGAACAGCTTGCTGAACAAGGCGAATGCTAAGTGGTGCATATCCAGAAAAGACATAGGCAATGTCATTGGGGCTGTTGCATAAGAAATAGTTTTACAAGTTAGGAAAGTAAATAACAGGATTATTAGAAAAGGTAAGCTTACAAAATAAATCAAAACAGCATCAATTTATAAATGCTGAAAAGTGTGGCTCATTTTTATTTTTTTTTCCATGGCATTCCATTTCATTTTCAGAAGAAATTTTTTCAGGAAACGGCAATAGATTTGGAAAATTTCCAATTAAGATGATGCCGACTTTTGATTGATGAAGTAGACATAACCAATTGCAAGAATTTAAGGAGATGGTTCAAGAAAACAATCCAAAACATGTTTTAGCACTCCCTGTAATTTTCAACTCAAGAAACATAAAAAACTTCTAAAGCACAGTAAAAAAGGCCCCCTAATGCAGTCCAGATCATTGCGTCACAGAGCATCCTCAGGTTTGCAGCAAAAGATTACGTCCACTTCTCATAGGTATAGCAGAACCAAACAAACATCTTAAACATTCTATAAACAATTCTATATCAGAAACAGATTACATGATCAAGAGGTTGATTACTTGGCAGTGTCAGTATCCTCAACTACAAGTTGGAGAGTACGTTTGATAGTCAGCCAGTTACTTTTATTTTCCTGCAAGATTAGAATGATGTACACTGAACTTGGTAATTCGATAGAATCCATTTACCTGAACTATCAGATTATGATGTGAAGAAAATAAAATGACTCATTAAGGAAAATCATACTAAACCTGCTTTTTAAGCAATCCAGCCTTTTCTAAATTATTCAACATTGCTATGTGCTCAAAGCCATAGCTATGGAGCAGCTCCCTCCTAAACAAGAAGTGCAACAACCACAATGCAGCACAAGTGCATAGTTAGAATAATTACTTCGTACAATAGGTAAAACAGCTGTAGAAGTCAAGAACCAACGGAATAAAGTACAAAAATGAGAATCATGCTATACTTACCTCAAATGGTCAAAATTCCTTTTTGGAAGCCCTGAATTTGTGATAGAAAATAAGATCAGAAGACGCAAGACACTAACAAGAGGCTCCTGCTTATGGATCAATTCTTCAATGTAATCAAAGCATCTGCAAATACAATCTTCATCAATTACATTTTGACTTGAGAAGCATTTCCAACATCAAGGAAACATTTGAGGCACAGGAAATTGCTATCAAAGCATATGAACAATTAATAAGGAAGTGTTTGATTCATATGACTGGACAGGACAACTTCTCTTTTCTATGCTGTTTATAGCACAAGTGAGACTGGACAAAAGTTGGTTTTTATCTTGCCCCATACCCAATTTCTGTCCTATTTCCCCTATGGGACAAGGTTGTCCCCGTGTAGTCTATCCAAACCAATCCCATCTGCTCACCAAACACACCCTATTTACAGGAAACCAATTATACTATTTGCATGAACAAATTAAAAAAATATAGAGGAAAAACAGAGCAGTAAAGCTTTCAAAGCAAGGGTGCATGTCTTCAAATCAACTTACATGTCATAACTCTGAGCCTCGATGAGTGTTTGCTCCATGTCAAGTCGTGAAAGAAATGACTGCTTTGATGTGAATGTTGATAGATGCTGAGCGAGATTTATGTGCCTCTGAAGCCATTAGAAGCAGCAAGTCAAAATCTAGCATCATTGGAAGAGCATTGACAGAGAGCATGACAAGTAAAAAGAGAGAGAGAATGACTTACAGTCATTTCAGGCAATGAATTCAGCTTTTTAACAAAATCCTTTAACTCAGAAACTGTCTGATTCTGTATTGAATCAAATGACACCTGATTAGAAATTGCTCATAACCATTCAAGTAATCCAAAAGCCAGGCATTCAAGAAATTAACTCTGCAATTTCACATGAGTGAACGTGCACTATTAACCTTAAAATTTGATAGGGAATCAACAGTAATGGCACACAATTCTCTAATTCTCTATTAGGCTTTAGCATACAACAGGAGTCTGAATTATTGGTATAAACTAAAGCTGCAAATCTTGACTTAGGAAGCTCTCTCTTATAGCAGAAAGAAGAACAAAGAAATACCAGGTCAACTACACTAGTAGATTGTGAGTTAGCAATAATTGTTCATTAATTATGAAAGGAAAAAACATGAGAGTTCAGGTGATGACAATTCACGTACAGTAGTTGTCATTTCTGTGTAGTCCTGCTTCATAGATGTTGCCTTTTGACGTAGGACCTGTAATTATACTGCAGATGGCAACTAAGGAAATAGAAATTGAAAGGCATACAAAGAACAGGTAACAGTTTGAAAAAGAGAATGTAAAATTAATATGGGAAGTAGAATAAACTTCCAGAAATATGAAGCAACCTGGGCAACAACTTCAAAGTTGAGATCTCGAATTTCCTTGAACAGCTTGTCACTAAAAAAGTTTCAGTGATGTGTAGTGAGTTAATTGCCAATACATAAGAAAAGGCAGGAGTCTAGAGCAAGAGAGAAGGTCCTGACAGTTCAAGTAATCATAAATTATAAATCTTAACCCAATTGCAGCTATGCAACATGCATTTATACAAGTTAGGATTCATTGAAGGATAACAATCTGGTAGTTGAATCCATCTAAACCCAAGTTTGACAGCATGTAGAGATCAAGTTTCATCTTTAACCCTCTTCTTATAGAACAGATAAGAGAGGGAAAAATACTCTTAAATAACATAGCATACCTTGAATTAAGTGGAACCTTGATCTTTTTTCCTTCTTGTTGAGCACCCATGATAGATGGATCAAGCTCCACAGCACCATTGTTGATATGCAAAAACTGCACTAAATCTATTAGAGATGGCTAATAGCATATCCTATTGACAGTAAATAATTATCATCATTTTTTCCACTCAGAAACATATGGGGATACATGTGCCTTAAAATTTCAGCTTCCAAATAATAGAAATAAAAATTTTAAGATGCTCATGCTAGAAGAAGTCAAATACTTTTGCAAGTTGTGGATGCAGAAGTGGTAACATTACAGACACACATGCAGAACACATTTTTCTAAGGCTAATCAAATTTGGTAACAAAATTAGCATATATAACTTCCATAAAGCAGGTGAAATGGCTAGAGTATCTTGGTTTCACTTGAGGGTCAAATTACCTCATCCAGAAGTCCTTCGTATGTTAACTGTGAACACATAGGAGTAACCATGTCCACCTGCAGCAAGGAATGGTAAACTTTTATATAGCAAAAATATTTATTTAAACATCGAGATCATAATATGCGAAGTCCAAGAGAGAACTATCTCAAAACAAAAACTAAGATTGTCCATAAATGCAAGTTTTACAAAGCTAGCAATAAACATAAAGAAACTTCCATCTCATCACCTAGTATTGCGAGCGAGGAATGCATAAATTTTTATATAGCAAGAATATTTATTGAAACATTGAGATCATAATATGCAAAGTCCAAGAGATAACCATCTCACAACACAAACCAAGATTGTCCATGAATATAGCTTTTATAAAGTTAGCAATAAAGCAGTAGACATAAAGAAACTTCCATCTCATTATCTAGGATTATCAGCAATCTTTACACTTAATATCCAGCATCGCTTTTTGAGATGTGCAAGTGTTTTTCAATTTTCAGCTTTCTGAAAATTTTCAAATGCTCATGTTATTCAAATGTGCAATGATATTCTGAAGACAGTGATGAAGATTTATTCATGCCAGTGCACACAAAAACGAGTACCTTGTTATCATCTTGCAAAAGTAAGATCAATTATTTAAGCCAAGAAGCAACAGAAGAGAGATAATTTACCTCCCTGTCTATAAGGATGAGTGTATTTATCCCTGGCATAACCATCTGAAATAACAAGCAAGTAAAATGTCGCAAGCGACAGATCAGTTATAAATAGACAGAAGTGTCTAACTTGCACGTTGGTTAAAACTTAGAAGCGTGCTCAGAGAAGCTGCAATTACATCAGATGTGTTAACTGGTTCTTCTGCTTGCATGCGATTGAGAATGTCAGCAACACGTACTGATGCTTTACCTTTTGCCCTTACATATGGTATCACTCCAAAAGAAGACTGCAGGCACAACTTTTCCATAAATATCGAATCATAGGAAGTTATCCGCAAACATTCTTAATGCTATAATTGAAAAATGACTTTTTGGATCCATCAAACCATCTAAACCTCAAGCTTGTGAATGGCCTTTGCAATATGCCAAAGTGAACTTGTATTGCCGTCAACTAGGCATTCCT